GAAGTAACACATTTAGCTTTTCCCGTGCTCCGAAAGCCAATAAAATAAACATAATATGGTGCGGTCCATACATAATGTCCTAAAGACTTAACACACAAGCTGACTTTTCAGTCCTTCAGATGACTAATGAATGCACTAGTTCAATGAGAAATTCTTTAGACTTTATGCCAGACTTACGTTGTGGGAATATGTTGAATAGAAGAAATATGTGGAAGTTATCTAGTTTATAATAACTGTCTCTGTAGTGATCTCAGAAAGCAGATGATTGCCAAGTCAATATTGATTTCTTTTTTGCTGGGGTACGTGTGTGTGTGTGTGTGTGTTTGTGTGTGTACAAGGGGGTTTTCCCTGAAGAATGCAGAAATTTAATACAGGGTCCTGAAAATTAGCTCCTTTTCTTCAAGTCATTAACATGTATATGTATGAATATACTTCAAAATAAAAACTTGATTGATGGACTTAAATAATGCCTTAAAAATTTAAGACCTAAGACAATCATATAAATCCTTGACTACCCTTAGGAATTTCCCTTGGCCACTGAGGAAATCAATGGGGCCAGCTCTGTTTAAACTGACATCCACCTGTTGCAAATGTGGAAACATGTTGAGTCAAGGTTCCAGGGAGAATGAATGTTTGTAACAGAGACTGCATTTTAAACGGGGTGACTCAGTGATAGAAGTGAAGGTCTGTTTTCCATTTAGTTTAAGTTGAGCTTCCCTATGAAGACATTCTAGAAGGTTTCGACATGTAAAAAGAACCAGATGCAGAAGACACTTCTTTTTGGTGTCAGGCCATGTGCTTATTTCTTGGGATTAACTGACAGCAGTCAATTACTCCCAGGATTGCATAACCCTTGCCTTGCACTAGGCTACACCCAGAAAAAAACTGAAAAGATCTGATAAATCCACCACCCTGAGAGGGCAAGTTGCTACTCTCCTAAACTAAGCTAAATCTGCTGTGAACTAACTGGTCAGCAACTTCTTATGTGCAAATCATTCACTCTGGGAAAGGCAAGCATTTGCCTACATACTGATTCCTCAAATGTAATTTAGGAGATCAAATTTCAATTCTTTAAGTGCTAGTCAATCTACTTGAAACTGTACAGTTTTAAGACTAGTGCTAAGAGATGATGAAATCCAGTGGTTTTTACAATGTGTACTGCAGAAGTTCAGACCTCTTCAGAGAACTTCGGATTACGACGGCGGTATGGGACAGAAGGGGCTGGAAGCTGGGGGTGGGGGGTGCGGCTGGAAGGAGAAGGCTGGCCTCTCGGCCTGTTACTCCTGACTTTGGTCAGAAGCTCTCCTTTCATATGCTTTCTTATTATTTGAGTATAGTTGACACACAATGTTATATTTGTTTCAGGTGTACAACATAATCATTGAACCAATTTATTCATTATGCTGTGCTCCCCCCCTACCCAAGTATAGCCACCATCTGGTCATTTGTTTTATTCATCACCTGCTTGTATGACTTCTTCATTTGGAAAGAAGGTTCTACTCTTTAAGTGAATAAGTACTTTTTATCAATGGATGTCACTCATTCAATAAACATTTTGGGGGCATCTACAATGTCCCAGATATCATGCCGGTTTTGGAGGCTACAAAGATGAGCAAGTCTTCTTTCTGCTATTACGGGGATTGGGATGATATAAAGGCACCTCAGGACACTGCCACAGGATATAATGCAAGACATGAGCTTAGCCTCATTTCTCAAATGAGAAGATTGGGACCCAGAGAGTTGAAGTGACTCATGCAAAGTGACATAGGGAAGAACAGAGCCAACTATTTATATATAGATGTTCTCTGTTCTAACCCATGCTGCTTCCACACATACAACACTCACTCACTACAGACTACAGTGTTTTGGCAAAATCATTTATGTTGTAACCATTTGTGCATTTCCAATGCCTCAGACAGGACTGGGCATAGAATGGGCACCCAATGAATGTTTGCTTAATTTTCTTTTTATCAGACATGGAAGTGAAGAGAGGAAAACTGCTTTGAAGGTAGGTACCTAGGTCAATACATACCACGGTGGTTGAAGATGGGAGCTAGCTAAGATATTGGGAGGATCTGATTAATACGTATGAAGGAGAGAAACATTATCCCCCCCAATGCCACCCCCATGTATTTTGGCAAACATACCCTTCTGCTAAATTCTACACTATAGTAAGAACTTAGTGAACATTCAGTAATTTTAAGAGGCCAAGAGAGAAAGTGCTTTCTTTCAGAGACTTATACTTTCTGGGGATGGAATAGCATTTTTCATTCTGGTAGGTTCCCACACTTTGATTCCAGCATCCCACAGGGCTGTTAAAACACATTCAACATTTTTATATTGGAGTGAACATATTTTTGGCTCCCAAAGTATTCATTTTGGTTCAATCCATAGCTGTATGGAAAGGCACGTGAACTTTATTTAACTTCCTTTAAAGAATCTAGCCGTGGATTACTTGGATACTGATATGTAGTTTCATTTTGGAAAATGTATGTTATTGCTTATTGTGATTTTAAGTTTTAAAAATCACTGTGTTCCACTGAGTTTGGAAAGGTATGAACATGTGATAAAAACTGACCAGATATTTGATGATGTCCCCAAGAGCAATAAGGTATAATTTAAATATTAAAGTTATTAACCCAAAGTCTTTTAAAAGATAAAACAGACATAATACTAGGTTACTAGAGTTTTCTTTTTTTTTCAGCTCCTAACATAGTTGCAACTTTTGAATGAAACCATAACTCCTTTAAAAATACAAGCAAGGCATGTCCAATTAATCATACAAGTTTCCCTCTAGATTGTTTTCAGACAGGTCACATTCCTAAGATGTTAATTTAAGCTTTCGTTCAATCTGTAAGTAGAATGAGTCCATAAAATAAGATTCTGTACAACAATAGCTACACAAATGTGACCTTAATCTATTGTGACAAAACTACAATCCTGTATTAATAGATATTATTATAGTTCTTATTCATGTAATAGTAAGAAATTATTTTAAAAAATACCTGTCTGGTTGAACCTAGGGAAGACGTCATGTTTTTATAATTTTATTTAGAGCTAGCCAATATTTCTCCTTGCATTTTGACCTATTTTCAAGGTGGTGTCTGTATTTGCAAGGAGACAGGTGATGGACCTGGCCACTTTTGGAGAACTCGATCACCAATTGAGGTCCTCCTTTCATTTCTCAAAAATAGCTCCATCAGGAAAAATTGAGGACCTGGTGAACGCTCCAAAGATTTGGGGTCAGTCCGAGCTACATAATATGGATGAATGAGATAAGGAGTTATGTTTAAATTAAGCAAAGGATAAATAAAAATTCTTAGCTCCAGGCTGGTATAATGTTCAGTGACAATGTGTCAATTATCTGGTTAGTGTGATCAACTCAGACAATGCCAGGGGATATTTCAGGTCCCAAAGATCAAAGCAAGAGGGAACTCTATTATTCTGCTTTGTTCATTCCATCATTTCTTGTCCTAATCTTTGTTGTGGTTTTCCTGCAGATAATATATGTGTAATGGCAAACCTTAAATTACAGGCAGAATTGTAAAAACCCACTAGAGAAGCTTTGTGTTTAGGAACAAGACTAGAGAAACAATGACCAAAAAATGGTTGCTTGTCACGAAGTAGTCAAACACGTCTTTCTCCCCGGGAAGGATTTGCACTTTGTTCTGATCACCCGTGGCAGACACCGTGAGAGGTACCTCGCCCCGTTTCCTGACTTAGGCTGTTTTGCAGCCCCAGACCTCGGTTTGTGTACATTTGCTCAGAGATGGATCAAAGGCCTCTTGGCAAAAGTAATGAAGCGTTGTTGCTCTAAATCTGATACCTTGCAAGCTAAATACACCTCTCAAGAGAAAATATAACTTTCCTAAAGAGAAGGAAAAGATGTTTCCAGCTCAGATGCTTGATAGAAAAGAAAAAGAACATTAAAAAAAATTTTTTTTGAAAAAATATCCAGAAATCTTGATCAGAATTCCATTTCTGTGTGTTAGGTTTAATGAAAGTGATCTCAGGGTCATGGGATTGAGCCCTGCATCAGGCTCTGCACTCAGCATGGAGTCTGCTTGAGACTCTCTCCTTCTCCCTTTGCCCCTCCTCCTTCCTCATGCTCTCTCTAAAAAAGTAAATAAATAAATACTTGTAGATGGAAACCATTCAGACTCCAGTTCAGTTCTGCTTTTTCCCTAACTGTGTGAGTTAGACAAGCCTCTTCACCTGTCTCCCCACTTCATTGCTTATTTTTCTCGCAGGTCAGCAAGGTAGGTTTTCTATACCAATTTTGTAGGTGAGAAACTGAAACTCAGGAAGACGACCTTGGGTGTCTGGTAATCTCAGCCCTTAGCAAGTGGTAGCCAGCATGGCTTCCACACAACCTGAAGCAAACTGATTGCCTCTAAAAGCAGTGATTGGCCCCGCTTTGCAGAGAAAACAACCTCAGAGACACAACACGGACAAGGAAAATGAACGCGCGATACTTGTCTGCAGAGTCATCTGCAGATATGCTGGCTGATTACTATCCATTAATTTTTCTTCTCTTACCTCTAAGGAAACAACAACCTACACAGGGAAGGTCGTTTGCTCTGATTAAAACGCTCTCGGCATTCAAGCAAGTGTTCTTTCTACTCTATCATTCTACTGGTCCCAGGCTGGGTGACCGATGTGGTGAAGAGCTACAGTGGTCTATCCAAATGGCAGAAGCAGACAATACGGAATTATCTAAAATACTCCTACTATATTCCTTAGCATTCAAGGCAGTCAAGGGCAGCCAAGGGCAATGCTGAGAGGCTGGCATCTAAATTTGAAAATCTGTGCATTCTCTTAGAGACCCACTGGACTCTTGCCCTCTTCCCCAAAATGGAAAGCCTGTCTCTTCCTCTATGCACTTTGCAATTTAGCTTATTAGGAAACAAATCTGCACTAGAAGGAGAGGAGTTCTCCAAGCTAGCTCACTATAAATACAGCAAGAGGCACCGAGCACTAAACAAACAGAAGGGGCTTACTTCAAAGACCAGTGTCTCGTTGGTGGGTCCTGGTGCATACAGCCGTTCTGGGTGGTTGAAGGACCGCTGGTATTCAAACACAGTCCCAGCAAAGGGGAACTCCCCAGGCCAGTCGATGCTCCAGCCCCCCGTGAGGTAATACTTCTGCTCCAGGCTTCTGACCGCAAGGTAACTGGAGGAGAGCTGCAGCTCCTGGATCTCGATGCTTCGGGCCCCCGCTGGAATGGTGACTACTGGATAATATTCTAAACGGAAAGAATAGAACAGTGCTGTTTTCCATGTTGCACACTGGAGAAATGGAGCTAACAATGCTCAGAGACACAGTGATGTCCACTTTTATAGAGTGGGGTTGTTGAATCATGAACGGACATTCATTCCTACTCTATGAAGTGCAAATAAATGATCAATTATTTCATTTTCCCAGTGGAAGGAACACCAGAGAGAAAGTGTGTGTTCCTCTCCCAAGCACATGTTGTGGACAGGAGGGACACTCTTCTTCCTTCCAGAATAACCAAGGCCATGAAACTCAATAACGCTTTTAAATCTTTAATCCACTTGGAAGAAACTTAGAGCCATGGACCTCAATAGTGATATTCAGGAAACAGGGCTCTGGGTTTCATTTTACTCAAGATTCGTTTAGATAATTGCTCCCAATATTCATCTGGCGTCGTGAGTGTGGATCACGATTCACATCCTGAACCGTAAGTTTCAAAATCTGATCTTTGTTTAACAAAGGCCCGTGGGACAGAGGACAAACTGCAAAGTAAAAAGGCATTTGACAGACACATCTCAGAGCTGTATGTGTTGACGGAACTCCTCACGCTGAGAAACCGCCCGTCCCCCCTTGTTCTCGCAAGGTGTCAAAGCCATCATTCTGTGCGTGTCAGGCAAGCTGGTAAACGGCTCGATCACGGCCAGCTTGACAGAAACTTGTCAGCAGCAAAGTCACTGCAATGAAACAGCAGGGATCTCTCACCGTTGGCTTTATGCTGGTTGAGGTATAGGCCTTTATAAAACTTGCAAGTCGAATTATCCCCTTTGCAAACACCACACGCATCCAAAACTGCTTTAGAGCCAAGTTCATGATCGCATCCCACTGGCTGTGACCAAAATAAAAAAAAAAACAACAATAAAGTGAGAAAAATCAGAAAAGCCGACGGCTACAAATAACCAAGAGATACATGGGGCTCTATCTTCAGAACATCGGGAAGATAGAACAGCGTTAGGGTTAAAGGCAGAGTCTCATGTTTGGGGGTTCAAATCCCTCCTCTGCCTTTACCAGATGCGGGACTAGGGCAGTTACAGAACTCATCCAAAGCTTGCTGAGACTCTTCCTCCGGAAAACTGGAAGAAAAAGTCACTGCTGCTACTCATGGCAGGTGAGCTTCCTTGGGCCAGCTCTCCTGCTGAAACAGAAAAATGCTGAGCCCCCCACACAATGGAATTAAAAGGAAGACTAATCGGCAGGAAATAGGAGTACTATGTCAAAACACACCTCTGAGGCTCTGACCGTAGAGTGAACATACTTAGCAAACAGGCAATGGAAGTTTACTACTATTCTTTACATTCTTATTTAATTTTTGCAGCTACTGCGTGTAGTAGATACATCATCTCCATTGCATACTCATGGAGACAGGTGAAGAGCTAATAAGGAGGTCGGAGGGGTCTTGCAGAACATCAGTGGGGATGTTAGAGATAGTCTGCACATCCAACTTGCAAACACTGGCCTTTTCCCCTAAGCTGCGTTCTCTCCAGACACAGAATCTCTTGTACCACTTCTCACGGTACACGTTTGATAGGAGGAAACACCAGCATGACCACACATCCCAAAGCAGAAATGTCCTCTTACTTCACAAATCCCATCAATACACACGTCGTGTTTGTCTGGGGAGCAAGGAGTCCCGTCTTTCACCTTGCTGGACATGGCGAAAAAAAATTCAAAGTTCTCAGCCTTGCAGTATAGTTTACATCGATCTGCCTCTAGAAGCAAAGAGATCAAGACAGGACGTGATCGGGAGGAAATCACAGGAAAATGACATGATGGCCAGAAGGATGAATTAAGTTTATTTAGAAAGCTATCATGACTAAAATGGGAAATGTTACACAGTTTTGCGTGTGGGTGTGCATGCATGAATGCATATATATGTGCTTTTAAAAACAGGAATCTCGTTTGCAATTCAAATAAAACTGCTCTAACACAAAAATTTCATTTTTCTAATCCTTAGTAATAGCCACAGTACACATGATCGGTGGGTTATACAGCTACTCTCCTTGGTTAGCAAGTATTTTAGGCTTTACAGGGCTTATGGTCTGCTATTGACAATATATAAATGAAGGAGCGTTTCCGTGTTCCAGTAAGACTTTATTTACAAAAACAAACAAACAAACAAACCAAAACTGGTCAGATTTGGCCCACAGGGTGTAGTTTGCTGACCATGATTGAGGACATGGATTACTTTAGATATTTATTCGGGTAGTTAAGAGAAAACGTTTTAGGCACTTTGGGGAAAAAAAGAGGGGCATATGGTTCATGTTTATAAAACATATAGAGAATAATCACGTCAGGAAAAGGAAGAGGAAACAAACTAAACCTAAAGGCTAAAAAATGCAGCTTTTATTGACCATAAAGTCCCTGAGAAGTTTCTGGTATCACAGGCAAAAAGAAAAAAAAAATACTGTATTTCTACAGAGCTCTTGTTATCAGAAGGGAGCTATGCCAATTTCCCAAATACAAAGCATTCTTCTTGGCCAGTAGCTCCAGATGACATTTCTCACGGGAGCCCATGCGTGGGCGACACCGTACATCAGCCCTGACTACAGTTGTACAACAAACGTGTAAACAGTTTGCAAATCGCTGTGCTTCATAAAACCTCTTAATAAAAGACAGTCAAAACTTAAATGTGAAAGTACTTAGCTTATCATGATCCAAATATGTGGATCATGTGATGTGCCGATGGATTAAAAGTTTCTCCTTTACCTAGAAATCTCTTTCAATAGCTTTATTAAACACCTCCCAAATTTTGCATCAGAGGTTATGGAAGACATATCTATACCCTTTCTTTTCTCAGTCATGCCCAGGAATGAACAAGTTCTAAAAGGTTCAGTTTTACCCACAGAGGCTCCAGGGCAAGTTTCTCAACTGGTCTATTGGAAACACAGAAGGGGGGAAAAAATCTCACTACTCTAAGACAAAGACTGCCTACATTTACAAATAGTCATCCCTGGGACGCCTGGGTGGCTCAGTCGGTTAAGCAGCTGCCTTCGGCCCAGGTCATGATCCCAGGGTCCTGGGATCGAGTCCCATATCGGGCTCCTTGCTCAGTAGCGAACCTGCTTCTCCCTCTCTCTCCCTCTGCTTGTGCTCTGTCAAATAAATAAAATCTTAAAAAACAAAACAAAACAAAACAAAACAAATAGTCATCCCTTGTTCTTTCCCAACCTGCGTGAATGTCACCAGACCTTCAAATCATGGTCAGTGTTTCCCGATTCTAAGTACGTATCAGAAGGAGAAGAGGGAGAGACAAAAGGCCTTAATTTTTCTGTCTCCTATGCTAGGATGGGGGCTCCCCAGGCTGGGTCTCTGTTCTACTCAGTGTAGCTCCCCCTGCATCTAGCAGAATGGCGCCCATGCAAGAAATGCTCAGTAAACATCCATTGAGCAAATGAATGAAGTAGCATGCTCCTTACTCAGTAAGGCTGCAATTAGTGAAAAACTTTTGAAACCAAAATATATTTCACAAGTTACGAAGTTTATTTGCTTCACTGTCTCCTCATGTACTCAACACAGAACCTATTTAAAGGGTGATCACAACACACACTCTGTAAACACTGTGTATGAATGAAAGACACGATGTGGGAAAGACCAAGGAATCTCTAAGACAACAAAGCAAGGAACAGAAGGGGAAGTGAGAAAGGAAGGACAGCAGGGTCTGGGGGAAAGGGCCATACATTAAGAATCACGGAATGACAGGAGTGTTCAACCAAGAGAAAAGAAACCTTCAAATGCTGGACTTGAAAGCAACTGCAGGTGTTCTATCTATCTGTCCCCAGGAACATGTTCGTGCAGTGCCCTTCCTAGATAATCGCTCAGTTCCTGATAGAATGCCTCCAGCGATGGAGAGCTGGCCACTCATAAAGGGGAAACACATCCATTATGGACAGCTGATGCTTATTTATTCACTCATTCATTCCAAAAGTTATAAATATGTGCCAAGGGCTGTTCTCAGATGCTGGAGGTCCAAGCATGCTCAAAATGGACAAAGGCTTCATCCCGCGGAACATAAATTCTTACGGGGAGAAAGATAATGAATAAGCGACTATATGATATAAACTCATGCATGGCTAAGAGCTATGAAGAACAAAGCAGGTTAAGGATTGAGAGGATGACAAGAAGGAAGGATATTCTGGGCAGGCTGGCGAGGGAGGCCTCCCTGAGAAGGGGCTATGGCTAAGAAGTTCTTAGCCTTTGAACAAATCCTGTCCTTTGAAGTGATTTCAAATAAATCTAAATCCTTTCCTAGTTATTATCTCTGAATTTTTGCAGGTACCTGGCTTTTCTCTTTTTCTTGGTAAGTTTCTATATTATTCTACTGGAGAAATTTTTTTTTTTTTAAATGGATGTATTCCCAGCCTTGTCACTGAAGTCCAAGAGAAATGAAAGACAAACTAATTTCCAAGTACACATTTTTTCCATAAAGCAAGAAAGAGGCGTACCATGAAGCAGGACTTTAAAAAAAAAGGTTTAAAACTCATTAATAAACCCTGCACCTATTATCTCTTAGTGCAGTCTGAAACCCTGGAAATAACAATAAAGGGCTGAGTTTCTATTTTAAAAAAAGAAACACGTACAAGTAGACACTTAGAGATGGCTCACTGCAATTGCAGAATTTTCATGCCGGCCTCTCTCTGTGCTTTTGGACAACCAGTCATGAGCCGAAACCATACAGAGCTCCCGCGACGGCTGGGCGGGGGCTGGGCAGAGCGGCACTATTACTGTTATCCCCCTGGTTAGGCGTCGTGTGCGGTCTCTAACTCCGCTGGCTTCTCTATGGTCACTGACAACACGGGTTCTTTTTGAGCTTCTGCCCAGCTACGACCCTCAGTCTTATTTCCCACGAATTGCCACTAACATCAGGGTCTTCCCATTCTACGCGTGTGCCCTTGGGGCTCCCAGTTATCCTTTCTCAAGCAAGGATGGCTGAGTTTTGATAAAGCAAGGGAATTGAAATAATAGAAGGCAAACAACCAGAACGGTGACAGCTTAGTCTGCGAAGGTAACAGAAAGCGCATTAAACGTGTACATTATAACTAAAATAAATGTTTGGATACTTTGGTAAAATAAAAACAATTCAATTTAAAAGGTAAAATACAAGCCACAACTTTAAGTAATAGTAAGTACTAGGAACGCAGTATGGAGACATTTTGAAATTCATGGCTCTGTGTGTGTGTGTGTGTGTGTAATACCCTGCAAACAGGCCTTCCCATGCGTGCAATCATCTAACACGTCAATTGCTGAATATGGTGCCTCTATGGGGCATATATGGTTTCATGGGTTTTTGGTTTGGACAATTCATACCAATTTCAATTAACATCCCTGGGAGACTTAATTGCTGAAATGTCAAAGGTAAGTTCTGAAACATAAGTACATTCCAAACACATGAACCCTTTGGCTTACAAATGTGGGGGACAAAGGGTTGTCTTGTGAAAAAAAAAAAAGTATGGAAAAATAAACAAAACCTATGGAAGTGAATGAAAAACTGGGTCAGGACAGGTCTAGAGGATGACGTCAACATCGAAACTCTTTTATGTAGGCAGCGATTTCGTTCACATTGCTGTCCACAAAGAGTCATATTTGTTGGAGGTTTAGAGAGACCAAATTACCTTCCACTTTGGTATAGGGCTTCCACTGGTAGAACCATCCACGGAAAGGTTTGCTGTTATATTCTGCACACTGCTGGGCTCGGAAATCCAAGCTATTTTCATTACAAGGGTTAATATTGCACAGCTGATATATACGGCTAGAACCTGGACAGAACTTGCCACCATACTGAGGCCTAAAAATAAAATGAAAGAGCTTTAGTGTGAGCAAACAGAGGGCTCATTATTAGTCATAAGCAATAATGTAAGGAGGGACAATCAAGATGAACATTATCAGAAGGCATGCAGTGTATGTGATCTGTGACAAGAACGGAAATACTGTAGTATACGACATGCCATGTCCCTCCTTGTATCCATGGCAGGCAGAACCCATCAATCAGGGACTTGCTCTTTCTTTTCTTTCTTTTCCCAGTATGGCCCTTGGGGAGGCATTACCACTGCTCAGCAACTGGAACTGCCATGTTCGATAAAACGGACTTGTCATCCCTGATCCCAGTGTTACATTCTGGCTATTTCCTTAAAGAATGATGAGAGCATGTTCTTGATGCTCCTCATGTTACCTGTTTTGGGAAATTTGTAAATGCACCTAAATGTTCTCATTAATGTAGATAGATGTGTGTCTGTGTGCTACAAAGCTCTTCAAATGTGGACCCAACCTACTCCCCAGCTCTCCTCCCATTTCTAAACACACCCAGCTTCCTACAGTATGTCATCCACCTGCTGCTATGTAGAAAGTCAGGACACCAAAGAGAAAGAGCAGAAAGCCCCATTTGCCGTGTCCTCCCATCTGGCTCTGTCAGTCATTGAGCCGACGTTCTGATTGTTGTCTGACTGTTGTATATTTTACTCTAGTTGATCCTAAACTGTGAACAAAAATCCCCTTGTTTTCATCTGCATAATCACTTTTTAACTTTGTAGGTGGCCTACTCCTCTCCTGCCAAGCACAATGGGAAATGGATTTCCAGAGTAGGGAATCCCATTAGAACATAAATAATTATGATCTAATGGCCAGCTCTTTAAGCTCTTGGTAGGTAGACTGCAAAAACCAGAAAGCAATATAAACAAAAAAGGAGCATAAACCAAAACGAAAATGACCAATAACGGCTTATCCAGCTTCTTACAGGCACAAAGCAATTGCTTTTTCTCATGCTCACTTTTTTGTGCTTTTCTCCAAAGGCTAAAACCCAACTACGGATCATCTCACACAAAAGCTCAATGCAAACATGTAACATGAAAGAAGGCTCCAGGTTAATAAATTTATGTGATTAAAATTCCTTGTCTCTTTAGGAAGCACAAGAATGCTATAAAACACCCCTGGATTTGCTTCAGCATATTTTATCAAATCCTCGTGCAACTGCAAGCTAAGATGGATTCAACAGAAACGGGAAGGGTCACAATGCCAGAATGAGATTTTTTTGCTATTTCAAAACACTCTGGAGCAACTACTTAAACATTCAGCAGCCATTGTGCTGGATTAAATCCCCGAAGACTTCTTAAATCATTATCTGAAAAGTGCTTAGAAAAACCTTAAAGGGCCCTACGATAGCTTTACTATTCCTGGTCATTTTTACAAGGCACTTTTAAAACTTTCTTAGTTGAAGACATTCTGTCTGCGATTCCACAAATAGCCTTCATTTAGACTCCTCAGATTCGATAAAGCCAAAGAGGACCATATGTGTTACTTTTTCAACTCGGAAACCGTAACACGGAAAAGACCTCGAAACTTCCATAGCACCCCCTCATTTTGTAGAGGAGGTGAAAGACGGATGAGAAAGCTCATAAAACTTGCCGAGTGAAGATCCCATAGCCAGCAAGAGACAGGGCACAGCTAAGCCCCCTACCTTTGACTCCCCGGGATCCCTTCCCTGAGCCACTCTGCCTGCATTCAGCTGAGTTAGGCAGCAGGGGCCGGCAGGAAAGAGGAAGACAGTCAGGCACCATGGTTAAGGAGTTGGCCTTTTATAATGAGGCTGCTCTGGATTTAAATATTCTCTGCCTCTTCCCAGCTTATCTTTAGGCAACTGGTTTAACCTCCTAACCTGTAAAATGGGGGCAGTTGTGATGATTAACAGTGTGATGTTGGTAAAGAATTTAGGGCTGACAAAGTACGGAAGCAGTCCATGTGGCCATCAGTAGGTGAATGGATAAAGAGATGGTATATGTACACAATGGAATATTATTCAGCCATCAGAAAGAATGAAATCTTGCCATTTGCAATGACGTGGATGGAGCTAGAGGGTACTGTGCTAAGGAAATGAGTCAGGGAAATACAGAGAAATATGATCTCACTCATATGTGGAATTAAATACAACAAACAATCACAGGGGAAAAAGAGAGAGACAAACCGAGAAACAGACTCTTAACTCTAGAGAACAAACTGATAGTTACCAGGGGGGGAGGTGGGTGGGGGGATGGGGGACATAGAGGATGGGGATTAAAGAGTATATTTATCATCATGAAAAAAATAAAATAAAATGATAAAAAAACAAAGGTCACAAAATAAATGAGATATGATCTTCAAAAAAAAAAAGAATTTAGGGTTGAGTCTAGGACAGAGTTAACAGATTAATGACTGGCAAGAATTTGTACTTTTCCATCAAATCCTCAAATACAGGTACATTCTTCTGCAGCTGTAAACAAAAGTGTGAGGATAAATTGAAAGAAAATTCTACCATGACATCTTTTGGTGTAACAAGATTAAAACAAAAATATAAACAGTCAGAAAACAAATGTCTGGGAACATGATTTTGTCCTTATATTAGACCATTATAAAGGATCCTCATTTTTACTTCTGCATAATTTATCATGTCCTGGCTACAGATGGTCACAACATTGGCTAGCTGATCAACAGAACCAGTGGGGGAGCTCTGTTAAAAAAAAGATAGCCACACAGACAGATGGACTGACTCCAGGGTCCCTCCAGATTTCTCAATAAGAATGTATGATGGGAAGATCCAGAAATCAGTGAGTTTTTTTTAAGCATACTTGGTGATTTTGATAATCACCTGAGCCTGGAAATTACTGGTTGAAAAGTGGGACAGAGATTTAATTCAATTATTATTCTAGAGCTATGACTCTAGAGGCATATTATTTTTTTCTCAAATAGACTTGCACTTTAGGAAAGTTCTAGAACGCCTTTGCATGTTTCATTTTCACTACCTAAATTTTTGCGATTTTTTTGAACAGACTTTATAGAAATTCCACTAGGCTCCTTTAGACTGTAATAATTGAATAGTCATGGAACCAGAAGGAATGTCAGAGGATTAAAAGTGTGGGCTCCTGGTCTGACTCTACCACTACCAGCCTAGTGACCCGGGCGAAGATTGCTGCTCTGGGACCCTCCACCTGCCCTGGTTACTCATTCATCAAATAACTGGATCAGACAACAGGTTGCAACTCATGCATCTGTTCTAGGTAGACTGGGAGGGAAGGCCTGAAGAAATGTTTTGAGGTTCCTGCGGCATAGTAAGGCTCAGTAGAAAACAGAGCTTCTTTCCATTAAAAATGTCTACCTCAGGGGTGCCTGGATGGCTCAGCTAGTTAAGCGTCGGACTCCTGGTTTTGGCTCAGGTCATGATCTCAGGGTCGTGAGATCGAGCCCCACGTTGGGCTCTGCGCTGAGCATGGAGCCTGCTTGAGAGGTTCTCCCTCTCCACCTGTCCCTCCCCCCACTCACATGCTCTCTCTCTCAAAATAAATAAATAAAAATAAAAATGTCTACCCTAGACACGGGAAAAAGAAGGGCCATATGTGTGTGGTAACCATCAAAGCTTGAAGGTAACCAGATAACCTTCAAACACTTTTAAAGCTGAAAAGTTGGGTAAGTCCCCAAATCAGCCGGGAATAGTTCATTTTTATGAAACACAGTATGTTCTGGGAAAACCATCATTATGTGAAATAAAAGCTCCTACTGCTTCTCACATGAGAAAATGAAACTGGTTAGGTGGAATAATGTGAACACACCAAATGTTTGAACTGAAGCAAAGAAGAAATCAGTAATTTAAAATGGGGGGGGGTAACTCAGTTTTACTACCACAAAGTGAAATAAGAACAGAGAACAACTAATTCAATTGCCTTGGGACACTGCTCATGTACTTGTTTTATTTGTGAGGCATAATTAAAGTAAACAGTATCCCGAGGAGCCTTAATCTTGAAATGATAAAACGGCACCAAATGGAACTACATTAGTCATTCTATTAGGCATTTCTGAAATTACAATATGATCTTTCCATGAACAATACCCTATTATAATGAGAGTTCTCAATCCCACAGATATGAGAGAGGTTTTAATTTAAATCTCAGGGGTGTCATTCACGCATGTTACCAGCAGAGCTATTAAATTAGGTAATCTATTTCTTTCTTGGGAAAATACTGAGCTGTAAAATGTTGTGATGTATGAAAACCAGATCTGTGAAATAGGCTGAAAAAATGAAAAGTAATATAATGATTTTAAGAATCCTACCCAAGATACAGGCTACATTCAAAGTACGAGGAGGGTAGTTTTAATAGTCTGATATAAGCTGGAAATGCATCACAAGCCTGTCTACCATCACGCCTAGTTACTGGATCGGAATAAACTAGTGAGTTTCACCTGGGGATGGCTTTGCCCCCTACAGGACATGTGACAGTCTCAGGACATTTTTGGTTATCAGGGGGCTGTCGGGGAGGGAGCGCCATCCTATTGGCACCTAGTGGGGAGAGGTCAGGGCTGCTGGTAAACATCCTGCCATGCCCTGGACAAACCCCCTAACAAAAATTTTCCAGCCCCAAATGTCAACAGTGTCAAAGTTGAAGAATACTGTTAGCCTGAGATCCCAAAGAGCACGTAGCAAACCATGGTCAAAGTGTCTTCTGACCCTCTCCTAGTTGGGAACAAACTGGCCTCTTGATCCAGCTCAGGCTGCTGACTCAGATAAAAGGCCAGGCCCCTTTTAAATTTTTCCTTCTGCTCCAGTTTCATTTATTTATTTTAATTCTTAATCTACCAAACATTTATGTGATGCTTGTAACATGCCAGGCACTTTGTAGAAGCGCTTTGCAAACATTAACTCAGTTGATGTAGGCACTCTCCTTAGTCCATTTTTTACCAGTGAGGAACCTAGAGCAGGGAGAGAAAGCTGTCTGTGGCTACATAGCTGGAGAGAGGCAGGGCCGGGAGGCAAACCTAGGTAGGGTTCTGGGCTTAGGAGCCTGTGGTCTTGACCTTCACGCTATACCACCACTCAGTGCTGTGAAGTGACATCCCTATCTTCCAAGGACCCCTCACGCTCTTCTCTACCACGTTCTCCAAAAGTCCAGTTTCGTCAGTAAGGTCTCCCTCCCCCCTCCCCTTGTTTTGGAGGACCCATCCTCTGCTACCCTGTACTCCGGGTCGAGTTTAGGATGAAGGTGATAAAAGCCACACGGACCCCGGATCCTTTTGTTGAATGCCCACTGGAGGCTCCCTGGTAGGGGGCATTCTACAGACCCCCTTCTCATCCCCCCAAACCTTCAGAGGAGGCATTACTGTCTCAACCTTACACATAGATTCAAGCTCAGAATTCAAGTGAACTTCCCGAAGTCACATAATTAATAGGCGGCAGACCCAGGATTTGCAGTCCCATCTGGCTCTCAACCCTGGGCTCTCTCCACATCCCTGTGCCAATCAGGGAGCGGGCATCTCCCACGGGTTGCACACGGGGACGAGAGCAGAGGAAAGGAACCTAAAACCGCCTTCGTTTTCAAAGAACAGAGAACCCCAGTACACCCGGGCCCAGAGTGTGCCCACAGGTGACCACAGGCCAGTCTCCCATCTGTAGATGCTGCGATTAGTCCTCACTGCGTTCTGTTTAAAGGAAACGGAATTTGTTGTCAGTATCTGAACAGTCGGGAAATTTCACACACATTTTTTTTGGATTTCTGGTTTCTCTTGAAAAGTCAGGCAGATCTGTCACCATGTGTTGATGTACATTCCTGCAAGGCAAAAATTAGCATACTTTCTCCAGTTCATCAGTTTGAAACGCACGCACACACACACACACACACACACACACGCACATTCCACTGGCCAAGCTTCTCAGCTCCACAACACAGGCATTTGACTCTGTGACCGTGTGGCTCAAATTTAGATTCGGAAACGAGCTCGGGCTATCACTTGAGTCCCTGATCGTCCTAGTCACACATACATAGAGTAGCTCCTTTGTTGTTTTGGGGTTTCTGACCGTCACACCCCCACCCCCTGCCCAGTGCCTGTAGTCTGTATATGCAAACCGTAAAACCCCAGTTTGGTTGCGATTCACCGGAGGGAAGGCAACTGCACTTAAAAACCAGTACGTAAGCAAAACAAAACCCAAACCGTACATTCTTGCCTTTTACGAATACGGACTGTCTTTGAGCCTTACTTGGGGTTATTGCAGTGTCTCTCTTGATACTTTATTCCACCACCACAGGTTCGCGAACATTCTGACCACTTGGACCAGGCGGACCACTGGCCGTGGACGGGCCGGGGGCCGTGCTCCCCGAACTTCACACACTGGCCTTGCCGACACCACTATAAAGAGAAGGTATGACACATTTCCTGTCAGAGTCCATGCGGGGACGGGAAGGAGAGGCAGACACCTGCGCGTTAACGGAAAAACGAGCGCGTCGGCAAATGGGAGAACGCAGGACACCTTGACGGGTTCCTTGACCGTCTGCACTTTACCGACACCGGGTTGCTCTGCATCTACTGTGTGCGTTTTGAAAGGCTGACATCTAGGGAGGGGGCATCTGTCACCAGCAGGCGAGGATCGTATGCTTTGTGAGCTGTCGAGGTGAAATATTCAGATAAGATTCCACCCAACAGCCAAGGGACTCAGTGCAAGCACAAGGACAACGGAGCCTCCCCTGAAATCTAGAAACAAGGCTGCTTTGAGAACAATGTGGATCATTCACTCAGGGAGAACCGGGTTTTTTTTTTAGGTATGAACACAGAATTTATCGTTCTGATGATCTTATCATAAAAACAGATACAATTATGCAGACATTTTTGTTTATCCCAGACCATCCCTACGGAGCACTTCTTATGAAGCCCAATAGTTCTCAGTCCAGGCCAACTGTGCTTGTAGATAACACCCTTTGACCTTTTTGTCTGTATGAAAGGTCCCTGCTCCAGACCCTCGGATGACTTTGAGCTCTCTGAGTGTCTTTTAGGAATTAGCTCTGGGTCTTTCATTTGCTAGTGCTCTGATCGAGCCAGGACGAGAACAGTTTTCTGGGCTAACCTCTCCATTTGTTTTCTTTTGCAATACATTCCAGGCTTCGCTGGTCATCTCTGTCCTTGGGGCTTGCATTAGCCTCTGGTAGTGGTTTTATTCCTGTGGTGCTTTTATTATGAGCAAGTTCTGCATGACTTAGCATAACTGCACACTTTCCTAAAAGCCTCCACAGTGAGATCCAATGGACTGGGGTTTGGACCATGCATGCCAGGTTCTGTTGAGGAGTGGGGCTTCAGTTACAGAATTAGGGGGAGGTGGTTTGACTTTCAAATCTTCGCTTTCCCCCTGGGATACATTTGGCTCCTTGGCTGTTTATTGCGTAGCGAGTGAACTTTGCCCAGTTCAAGATATTGCTTCCTTTCTTCAAATTCTTGCCGTGTGCGGATTACTTCTTGTGTTTTTCATTTGTCTTTTCCCTGGATTAAGTGCCATTTCAGAGTTTGCATGAACTCCTGTAACACCATTGAGCCCTTTTAGGGGGAAAGCAATTGGTCATTAGAGGATCTGGGCCACTGGGAGCAGCAATCAGAATCTTCCCGACCAGGAGTCCCCGGGACTGTCCCGGCTGAGCTCAGTGGCGGACACAAGGTAAGAGCCAACAGCAAGAGCAGGGGCTGCACTTCATGAAGTTGCTCCTAGGTGCCAGAAAGAGTGCAGGCAGGGGGAGCGGGAGGACTTCCCATGCACTTCCTAACTTAATCCTCCCAAAGCACTAAGGAGTTAGTAACTATTTTCTGGATGAGAGAAATTCAGCAAAGAAATACTAACACAGCTACCCAAAGCAGCCACATAGGTACAGCTGAGGCTCGATTTCAACTCAGTCACCAAAGCCCCTCAACAGGATATGTATCCTTCTCGCCTCAGAGGCAAATGCGCCCCCCCGCCCCCCGCACAGGTCTTAACCTGAATTTCTTTCTTTTTTTAAAGAAATATGGTTTTTAGATCTGTTCCAAACCTTCAATTAATTTAACTTTCTTTTATTTCAGGATTCATCCTAGTATTGGCTTAGGCTGCCAGAAGATTGTCTCCTCTGGCTTTTTCATTCAGTATAGAAATCAGAAGTAAATACATGAATGCACACACACACACACACATCCTCTTTGGATCTCATTGCAGAGGCTTGCAGGAAAGTGTGAAGTTATTCTAAGTCATGCAGAACTTGCTCATAATATACATATTATATATATATATGTGTGTGTGTGATTCACACACACGTGCATAATACACTTATAAAATTCTACATATAAAATTGTATCTATTCATACGTATACAGATAGGCATTTCTTCTAATTTCAAAATGAGTGGCTGTAACTGGGCAGACACCTTTTATGACCGACAGAAAACACAAGCCTTTCTTTTCTTGCACATGTAACTAGATAAACGTATGTGCTTTTTCACATCCTCACATGTTTACTGAACATTCACGGTCCAAATGTCACTGAATGACCAGGGACTAGAAAGATATGGGGAAGAATTCAGCTAGGTTCCAGTTACAAGGGAACAAAACACAGAGTAGTCGCTACGCTGTAGGATGCTTGATATAAAGCATAAGGCATGATCCTGGCCTCACGGAGTATATAGTCTAATGAAGAGCTGGTTCCATCCCCTAGAGGAGGAAGAGTCCGAGAACCTTGCATGTGGATGCAGTAATAATTAAACCGGAGTGATGATGGATGGAACTCATCTGAACGTTTTCTGCTGAGGGGGAGGCCTTCCCCCATTCATTCAGGGGCATTCCCCCAGTATTTAAAACTGCAGCCTGGTCTCTTAAAATAATGAGGTGGGGGAGTGGCATGAGGACATCTGTTTTCTAACTTCTGGACCGCTTTGTCTCAGGTTACAGTAACTAAAGTCTAATCCAGGGGCATTTTCATGCCCGTGGAACTACATCCCTGGTGTAGGTAGGTAATAAAAACTTCAGCCCTATGCCACTTGGCACTTACTTATTAGATCAATCTATTCTTCTACATCCCTCTTATGTTTAATGCTGTTGCGTTCATAATGAAAAAATACCCACTAATCCTCGAGTTTCAAGTCCTAAATTTTGATGCTCTAAAAATAAAAATGACGGGGCGCCTGGGTGGCTCAGTCGGTTGAGCGGCTGCCTTCGGCTCAGGTCATGATCCCCGGGTCCTGGGATCGAGTCCTGCATTGGACTCCCTGCTCGGCAGGGAGTCTGCTTATTCCTCTCCCTCTGCCCCTCCGCCCCAACTTGTGCTCCCTCATAAATAAATACAATCTTTAAAAAATAAAAATGACTTGAGCAGTACTTATATGTTCAATTATTTCACTATTTTGCCTCATCACACCTAAAACATTCCATGCCCATTTTCAATGAGCATCCTTAGTGGAATTTCCTAAGACAGGTACTTCTGAAGGAAAGTTGCACATAATACCTCAACTTTTCTTAAAAAAATTATTTTCTTTAAAATCAAAGAGTTAAAAAATGAAAATATTTTAAAAGACTTTGAATAAATGACTCAATATTAGTAAGCATTTTCTGAACACTTGTTAATTTTTGTGTGCCTATATTTTTGCCTTTATCGTTAATCTCTCACTGAAAGTCTCTCTCCCATCCAACTGAGGATGGGATTCACATTCCAACATCCACCTTGGTGTACCCACTCACTGTAGTTCATTCTAATAAGTGCACACCTAATCCCGAGCATCGACAGCAACTCAGGGCTTAGAGGAGGTCTGTTTAAAAAGAAAGTCCACGTTATTGGCTTCTGCACAGGTTTCCCCACTGGACTGGGAGTTCTTGAAGAGATAAAACTGAATTTTATTCATTCTCGTATCCCCAGGGTCTCCTGTCTCTGATACCTAGCAGTCAATAAGTTATTGTGCAATTGAATTCACTTTAAATGACCGAGTCTTCTCGGGGCACCTGGGTGGCTCAGTCGGTTAAGCGTCTGCCTTCGGCTCAGGTCATGATCCCGGGGTCCTGGGATCGAGTCCCGCATCGGGCTCCCTGCTCGGCGGGAAGCCTGCTTCTCCCTCTCCCACTCCCCCTGCTTGTGTTCCCTCTCTCGCTGTGTCTCTCTCTTTCAAATAAATAAATAAAAAATCTTTAAATGACCGAGTCTTCTCTACCAGCTCATGCTGCCTCGGGAGAGCCAGAAGCAGAGATCAGAGATCCTGGAGCATCTCCACGCTCCCCTCTTTCATAGCCCTTGATCATGATCTTCCAAAGGAATGCACCAAATCTGGGTCATATACTGCTATATCAAGTGCATCTCTCCCTGCAGATGCTACTAAGAAAGGAGAAAAAAACCCCAGAAACTATGAACGTTCTTCATTCAAAACACAGATATCTCATATTGGAGATGGTTCTGAGGGCTGACCATACTTGCCGGCTACCAGCTTTCTGGTACAACCAACAGTGACCCAGCTTACCCTTTGCCAGGAGTCCCTCTACGTGACGGGACTCCCCTGAGCGTATTAGAAACTCACTGATGGGTCCTGGGAGGTGAGAAGTAGAAGCCTTGTATGGGGGGACAGTCCTTCCTTTGCTACTAAGGGGACATCTGCTCCCTGAAGCTTCTCTATACTAAATCAAGTTTAAAAGGCAAACAGTATACAATGAAACCTTCCACCTTGTTGAAATATTTCATCTAAAAATGGAAACCAAAGTCAGAAAAAAAAAAATCATCATAAACAATGGAGCCAACTGGGTGATATTAGCACTGAGTTTTTATAATAGCTGCTACAGAATGCTAGTGGGTTTAAAGACAAGTCAGAAAATGTATGCGGCCAAGGCATTCCATTCTGAAGGTCCCAGTGCAAAGAGTTTGTATGATGGTTTGTTTCTATGCGTTACCGTATTTCCAGAACTAAAAACTAACACGTATGCAGTTTACCATACTCAAGCCACAAACGGTCCCTTCCGCTGCAGGCATAAACTTGGTCTCACACCTGTGACCCACTCGGTAGCACCAAAGAGACTTGCAAATGTCCTGAAAGGAAAGAAGCAGCTGGTAAGGGCGTTGCTAGAATAAAAATGAAAATATCCAAAGCTTTTGTACACAATATTGTATTTTGATGGGGAGGTAATAATAGTTCATCTCAGGACCACTGGGCTTGAAACTAAGAGACCTGGTTTGTAATAATCACCAGCAACACCACCACCAGTGAAGCAGGAGAGGCCAAGATTGGAATCGAGCACATCGGATTCAAATCCTTGCCCCAGAATCCCAGGTTCCACGCCCTATAGACGGACATGTTCTAGAAGTCTCCGATGTGCAGTTTTCTCCCCTGTGCAAACAGTGATAAAAGTAGCTCTTGCCTCTCCATCGGTTCTCAAGGATAAATGGTGTGAATGATCACCATCATCACCTTCCTCCTCTTTAGTAATTTTGAAGCATTTCGACAATTCTCACACCATGAAAGAGTTTAACTCTCATGCGAGACTGTGGTAGGCAGAATGCTGCCCCCCCCCCAAAAAAGGACCACATCCAAATCACTGACACCTGTAACTCTGTGCACTTACATAGCAGAGGAGAATTAAAATTGCAGACGTAATTAAGGTTGCTCATCAGTTGACCTTGAGATGGGGAAACTATCTTAATTTTCCACATGGGCCCAAGATAATCATGAGGGGCCTTAAACAGGGCAGAGAAAGACAGAAGAGAACCAGAGAAAGGACAGTGTGAGGAGGACTAAGGGGGATGTTGTTGCTTTGAAGATGGGGGAAGGCGAAGGGGCCATGAGCCAAGGAACGTAGGAGGCTTCTAGAAGCTGGAAAAGGCAAGAAAATGGCTTCTCTTCTGGAGCCTCCAGAAGGGACACAACCCTGACAACACTTGATCTTAGCCCAGTGAGACTCATTCCAGATGTCTACCTCCAGAACTGTAAAAAAATAAATTTGTATATTAAGTCACCAATTTCATGGAAAGTTAGAGCAGTCACAGGAAACTAGTACTGTTACTAACACCATTTAGTGTTGGACACTAAGCTAATTCCCCACATAAACTAATTTAGATGATGGGATTGAGCAAGCTATTGACACTTTCAAAGCCACCAAGTCATACACAGCTGGTAAGTGGCAAAGGCAGGACTCACACTGGCCTGATTCCAGCCAGAGTCCTTGACCACGGCTCTCTGGACCTGGATTTGCCATTAAAGGAAGTTGGAAAGCTCTCAACGTCTCTGGGCCTCTGTTATCCATCTATAAAGTGAGGGGACCGAACCAGATTCCCTCCAGCTCAAACAGCTGAAGTTGCTACTCAGAATTATGTCATTAAGAGAAGGTCAAAATCAGGAAATGTCAAAATCATTCCATTTTGTTTGCCACATTCTATTTACTGGGATAGACGTGTGAACGTGTACAATTTGGAGGAAAATATTAACAACAAGGGAGGAAACAAAATGGCTTTTGTGGTCACTTGGTGTGGCCCCGAAAATTCCATTAACCGGACACCCAATTCCCCAAGCCTTCCGGTTAATGTAGCTTTCACGGTGACACAATATGGCAAGAACATGCTCAGGGGTTATTTCACAAAAAGTTTTCCACAGAACCAAGAAGAGGAAATAGAGGGAAACCAGAGAGATGTGCAGTGAGCCTGATTGTGTAAACCATAAAGTTCTCCCCCACCGCCCCCCCCAAAAAAGAGAATGGAAGGATATTCAGGATGCTGCTGGGGACTATAACCCACCCGTGGCCCCAGACATGTGCCACACATACCATCATACCATTTTCAAATCTCAAAACAGCTCCTAAGACACAATATTACAGTGTTTCCCACACACGTGGACCTGCAACTGGCATTAGTAGAAAGCATGAGGCAGCCTGCCAACAAGTGAATCAGCTTCATCATCTCTGTGTGCTCTCCTCCATGTATCACCCTGGGCCTGAGGGGAACAATGTAATGTGGAAAAAGACAGTCGACATCAAAATGGAGAAAGGAGAGGCAACCAATGAAACCCAGCCACAGTTAGAAAGGCTTTCAGAATTAAACTGTTTCCCTCCTGACAGCCAGCGAGCAGCCATAACCCACACCCTTCGCCTATGTGGCAGCCACCGAAAATGACCCTGGGGCAGATCCAGGCAGAGGAGACCCGGATTCCACAGCCAATGCCAAGCCACAGGGCGAAGGAGAAGGGGCAGCTGGAGAAGACCGGGAAAATGAGGCAAAACACAAAAACACAGGATTCCAGAGTGAAATCAGACAGGCTGTATGAACATGTTATTTCTTTTGTGGTGAAGGACATAAGTCAAACGTAATTATAGCCAACTACGTGCTTTGACGACCATGAGAGTCTTCTGAGAAAGCTCCCTTGCAAAGTAAACAGAAATGAGAGTTTGTACTTTTTTGCTTGCTCTTCCCTCTTTTTTTTTTTCCCAACATATTCAACTAACTTTTCCTTATCTATAATTCCCTAGACTGGAGTCATAATTTAAGGGAAAAAGAAATAACCACAGAGACTCCAAGGTCTCATGTTGCCTGCATGTGATTTTTAAGGAGAGTCTCGATACTAGGCATTACTCTGTCCTATCACTTGTTGACCATGTTGTCCTGTTGTGTTCCAAAGATTCTGAAGGACGCCCCTCCAAGCAAAATCCGATGTGCTCAAAATGTTAATGGTTTCTGCAAATCGAATTTTATAAAGCACCGAACACATCCAAAACAAAATTCCCCATCTGTCCCCCCAAACCTGTTCAGGCTCTTCCAGCTCATGTTATGACACCTCCATACTTCTAGATGCTCAAGCCAAAAATCCTAGAGTCCTCCTTGACTCCTCTCTCTCTCTCTCACTCTCCCTTCCTTGAGTAGGGATGAGACGGGGACAGAGGCAAAATCCTCCACTTGATGAAAACGGGAGTGCTAAAGAAATGTTAGTTTTAGTTACCATGTAAATTCAGTAAATGATTCCTGGGTCTCTGGCAACACGGCGGGTACACGCTACGTATTTGCCATCCACTGAGGCAAGAGGCAAACCTGGTCAGTTATAATATGGAACCACAAGTTTACGATGGTCCACAGAGGGTGCAGATGGAGCCTGGGTAAAAGGAATGCTTAAATCTCCTTGGGGAAAATAGGAGGTACCGCTTGCACTGAATCTCCAACAACAGTAAAAGATGATTAGGTATTTGTCACATGGGTGGCCATGCAGCATTCTAGGGTGGGAGGCATGTCTACAAAGGCTTGTAGACATGAAAGAAGGAACGGTATGAGAAAATACAAGGACATCAACACAGTTGGAACTTAAGTCCATGGGGGAAGTTAGTAAGAGTTGAAACCTGATGTAGTAAATTTAGTAGATTGCAAAGTAGGTAAAATTTACTGATTACATTTAGATTTAGATACTAGGAAGTTTCTCCTTATTCCCCATTCTTTTATCCCAATGTCAAGTTCTTTTTTTAAAAATAATATTTAAAATTGAGGTATAACTGACAGGTAACACTGTATTAGTTTCAGGTATACAACATAATGATTAAGTATTTGTATATATTACAAAAGATCAGCACAATAAATCCTGTTAACATCTGTCCTCATACACTGTTACAATTTTTCTTGTGATGACTTATTAAGATCTACTCGCGGGGCGCCTGGGTGACTCAGCTGGTTAAGCAGCTGCCTTCGGCTCAGGTCATGATCCTGGAGTCCCGGGATCGAGTCCTGCATCGGGCTCCCTGCTCGGCGGGGAGCCTGCTTCTCCCTTTCCCTCTACTCCTCCCCCTGCTTGTGTTCTCTCTCTCTCTCTGTCAAATAAATAAAATCTTTAAAAAAAAAAAAAAAAGATCTACTCGCTCAGCAACTTTCAAACATGCAATAGAGTATTAACTATAGTCACCATGCTGTACATTGCATGTCCTTGATTTCTTTTCTAGAACTTTGTATCTTTTGACGTCCTTTATGCATTGCAATGTCAGATTCTTGAAAGAAGAAATACATGCCCATCCTACTATTTTTGACGTGCCTTTTCTTTTGAAGGAAGTGTTCTCTGAGGTGATGGGTGCGAACGTAGTCACTGGAATTCAAATGCCTTCCCCATAATTCCTATTCTGCTTCGAGCCCTCTTGGTGCATCTGTAAGTGAACATTTACGGAGCTTCTGCTGTTGACAGTAACTGCTGGCTGCTGAGGTAACAGAATACAGGCTGCTTGCTGCTAACTCAGTAAAATAAGGGGCATCGGAAGCACTGACCAGAGTCTTCCAGAGTTCGGGGCCTTGGGCAAGAAAGCCACGGGGAGAGAGGAGCCTGGGATGGCCATGCTGCTGGAGACAGGAGGGAGAGAGCATGAAGGAAAGCCTGGGTGTTCGCTGAGGGGTGCCGCCGTCCCAGGAGCTGCACCCTCACAATTACCAGGGAAGAACTGTCCTTATCCTTGCCTTACAGATAGATGAGGCCACAAAAGCCGAGGGAGGTTCAGCCATTTGCTCAGGGTTCTAGGATGTGGTGGAATAAGGTTTTAAACCCAGGTCTACCTAACTCCAAAAGTCAGACGGGGGTGGGGGGGTGGAGGGGGTGGTGTGTGTGTGTGTGTGTGTGTGTGTGTGTGTGTGTGTAAAACTGAAGACTGCCTAATTCAACAATTCCCAACCCTGAGCGTGCATCCAAATATCACCTAGAGCCCCTGTTCAAGCATTGCCAAGTCCTACCCCCAAACCTTCTTATTCTTTAGGGTGGGATGAGCCTTGATCATTTGCATTTATAACAAGTTCCAGGGGATGCTGATGATCAATTGCATCGCTGGTTTCAAAGACACTTGAGAATTCTTTCCTTTTTCCTTTTTTTTCCTCTTCTAACTATTATGCAAAACTACTTTTCCAGGAGGCATAAAGTTCAAAAAAAGTAGGCAGTGGAGGAGAATACGTTTGTAAGGGAAAGCAATGACAGGACAGTGAAGACTCTGAAAACAAACACCATCCTTTCCCTGTGCTGCCGGAGACAGGTCTACACTGTCCAGACCAGCAGGGCGAATGGAGGTTTGCTTGTTTAGGAAACCCCTCCCACGCAGGGCCAGGCAGGAACTATCTGTGATTATCAGCGATAACGCCATGGTTGGCTACAAACAGTATCTTCCGCCCCCTAGGTTGTGGGGGGAAACATTCCGCATTCGGGATCCACCACCTTCCCTGTCTTACCTCATGGTCATCTCAAACCTCTCCCTTAAGCAAATCTCCCCGCCCCTCCAGGCATTCCCATCCCTGTGCCTTCCTCATTCTAGCCAGTCTTCTAGTCTGCAATTCCCACTTCCCTTTGCTCCACTCCCCAAGGGAGACCATCAGACTGAGGTGCTGTCTCTTGAAAATATAGTATGGTTCCAGGAAAATATCTGTCACTGAAGACTGGCTGTTTGAGCCCTGCACACTGTCATATACGGAACAGGCACCCCACACGTTTGATGAATGTCTGATCCTGAAGGCATCTTAGTAATTTTTAAAACTTTCTTTATATTCCTAAAGAAAATCAAACTTGTTAGCAATTGTGCATTTGCCGCAGAGTAAGCGCTTAAAAAATGTTTAATGACTGCGTAAGCTAGTGAAACCTTTAGGAATGAAGGGAAGAGGAGACAGAGTTAGGCAAACTTTGTCCGCAAAGTGAATGTCCACTGACTTCTGCCAAGCACATCAACAGGCAATTAGAAACAGCCATACATTTATTAATGTATACACGATACACCAGCATCTGCCAAAGTAAGGTCCATGTACCACGGAGGATACACCAAAAAAATTGTGGATGGTGTGTGGGTAAACTTTTCTGATAGTCATACATTTAAAGAGCATTAGAAAAATATGTGATCCCATATCAAACCTGTGATTTGGTGGTTATTTATTAGGACTGGACTCATGTACTTTTAAGTGAGCTGATTTGTTAGAAAAGCAACACGTGAATAACAATACAGAGATACAGGGCGCCTGGGTGGCTCAGTCGGTTAAGCGTCTGCCTTCGGTTCAGGTCATGATCTCAGGGTTCTGGGATCGAGTCCCACATCGGGCTTCCTGCTCAGCGGACAGCCTGCTTCTCCCTCTCCCTCTCCCTCTGCCTCCCTGCCCGGGCGCGCTCTCTCTCTCAAATAAATGAATAAATAATCTTAAAAAAAAAAAAAACAACAATATAGAGAGACAGCACAAAGAATGAAGGTAATTATCAATGACTGAATGTTGATGTTCATGACTGAGGCTTAGGAAACACTCCTATTAACTGGAGAGAAGGAAGCTTAACATCAATGTGATGGACAGGTTTAAAAGTTTTGAGGCTTTGGGCAAATGGAATACACATTCTCTGAGCTCCATGTAAAAAATGATAATTCTCCTTTCAAAAGGTCTTTGTGAAGACTGAGGAGAAGTAAAGTAAGTCTCTAAGAAGATGCCTTCTAAAAAAAAAAAAAAAAGTCTGGCGCTTAAAGGACTGAGCCACCCAGATGCCCCCCCGGGGTGCCTGGGTGGCTCAGTCGCTGGGCATCTGCCTTTGGCTCAGGTCATGATCCCAGGGTCCTGGGATCGAGCCCCACATCGGGCTCCCTGCTCCTCGGAGAGCTTGTTTCTCCCTCCCCCACTCCCCCTGCTGCGTTCCCTCTCTCGCTGTGTGTCTCTCTGTCAAATAAATAAATAAAACCTTAAAAGAAAAAAAAAGAAGATGTCTTCTGTGGAACAGAGGCTCACGTGGCAAGTGCCGGGGGGCGGTGGGAGGGGCAGTGTTATCCTCAATGGGGCTGTAGCAGAAGGAGGAACAGACAAGAGGAGGGATGGAAAAGGGGAAGAACAGGAAGAGACTAGGGAAAGGGAGCTATAAAACTTTGTCATTTCCCAGTTTCCAGATACCTAGGAATTCCACCTTTCTCTCTCTGGATAGTAGGGAAGAACAACTTAAAACTGATTCCACTTTGTATTGATGTTGAGATGGTCAGTGGTGGAGTTTTGGACCAACTGGTCCAATGTTTCTCCCATTTCTACATCCTGGACCTTTGCTTTTCCCATCAATGTTTCTCATAATATTGAAGGGAAGACTGGACACTCAAAGTTGGCTGTCAAGGGTAGTTTTCACATTCCATAAAGGCATAGGTATATATTTTGAGGTGGTGATGCTTTTTCAACGTATCACGTGAAAAGGGAATATGAACACAACAATAATAATCAGAATGATGAGAAGTAGGTAAATGTGACTCTACCCAGATTTACTACTTGTGATGAAATCCTCATCAACCCAGGAGGGATTTTCTCCCACAGATGCAGTCGGATGGTATTTAAACCAGGCATGGTCTATGGGGGATAAGCCCGGATAATTCACTGACAGTAAAATCGCCACTTAATTATCATGCCAAACAACTGACATTTTAGAGATAACCCAGACTCTAACCCTTGGCCTTCGCAAACCAAATGTTTAGATTTCTGTTAGGGACACAGACACATTGCAGAATCTTAATGTAAGTTTGAGATCACAAGCAAACATACCTTCACAAAACCGAGGCTGCATAACTTGGCTTTTGCTCCAAATTGCCACTTGCACTGTGTGTCAGCATCATAAATCTGTCCTGGTAGTTTGTCCGGATATTTATACTGTCCCGTTTGCTTAGGCTCATCCACCAGACAGCCAGCCTGAGGTGTGCTGCCATGGAAACACAGCCTTGTTAATTCCCGTGTTTATCTGTGATCTTTCCACGTAAAGCAATACGCCTCTGAATGCACTCACATGAAGAAAAGCATAGCATGGTGGAAGATATAGGTGATACTGAATGTTAAAGTGGTATTTGTTTTTTCCAGAGAGTGAGTCCTGTCCTGCCTAAGAAGAGGGAATTTACATAGCTACGGAACGTTTCACCTGGCGCTGGAAGTCATAGCTCTCCAAGTGGTTTGGTTTGGCCAGCTAGATGGGAAAGGCCAATATATTTGAAAACTCTCCCCAACAATGGTATTCAACAATATTCAACAGATTTTTATTGGGGTGCCTACTGTGTGCTGAGCACCAGGCTAAGTGCTAAAGGTACAAAATAAACTAGACAGAGCTGGTACCTGCAATGGAGTTGAAAGTCAGGCTGCATCTTTTATAAATAATGGGGCAGTGGTCAAAGATGTACTTTACCTTAAATAATCTTTACAAGCAGAAAATAAATTAGGTTTTTGAAAGTATCAGGAGAAAGGACGCATTGGGGCAATAAGCAGAATAATTCCCCAAAGTGTGCTCAACTGGGATGTGTTAAGAAAAAAAAATCAGTCTGGATGGTGGATATTGTTAAATAGCACCTTCCCTCCATTTAAATTAAATAGCTAAACTATGATATCAATGAGAGGTAAAAGAGCATGGTGGTTAAGTATGATTTTGGAGGCAGACAGATGGGAATCCGAATCAGCCATGAGACCAAGAGCAACTCTAATATACCTCATTACTGACAATGAGGTCCATTAAGAGTTTAACAGATCCAACAAGAAAATGCAATATGCTCAACCTAGCACAATAAGCATTCAAAGTCAACTGTTATCATCATCCCAAAACATTTAATTGTATCATATTAATGACAGAAATTCAATCTGTATTAAGTTGACCCTGATTTATAATATTTATTGATTCTATTCTCACATGAGATAGAAAAGATAATTTCAAAGCCCCAAATAATAAATTTATAATAAGACAATCTTCTATTTGATAAAACTTATCATTAGCAAAAGGTTTGTCAATTTCTTACTATTCTTTGGGGTATTATTTGGTTAAACACCTTATATTTAATCAGCTTTGCCTGTGTGTATTACTAATTCTGTAAACATTTGAAAATCGTATGCAATAGTACAATTTAAGAAAAAAAGTATCAATATTATCAATTCCCAAAGATATTTTGTTAGTTTCCCTAACATTTGGTCAAAGGGAAATGGGATTAGAACTTGAGTGTTCTTATGAGTCAACATAGCATTATAAGATATATCATAACAACTAGAGTGCTATTATAATTACAACGGTCAAATATACATTGTTGCTACATAAAATGAGAGGAAACTTCAAAGGGTTCCAACTTTGGGTTCATCACTGAATATGTATCACAGAGTGCTACCTTCCTAACTCCCATTTTACTAATGACAAGTAGTTTGAGTTATCAAACGGATTTTATATAGCTATCATCCCCTTTGGATGTCTTCTGGACATAAAACGAGCTCATGGTTATTTTAAACAAAATAGGTAAGCAAGACAATATTCCATTCATTATAAAACATACACACCATTTTAGCATTTTTAATACTCTTATGACCAAATTTATTGATAAGATTAAAATACTTAATCACAGTAAAAAGTATATCTAGCAACCTCTGGAGGTCATAAAGGGGAGATAGTTATAAGCATAGATCTTGGAGTCATACCTGACCTAAGTGTGAGTCTTATGTCTACAACTTACCAGCGGTAGTACATTAAGCAATACTATTAACCTCCCTAAGACTCAGTTTCCTCAACCAGAGACTAAGGATTCTAAGAGGATTGCCAGAGAGGACTGAATGAGGCAACAGGTGCAGAGCATTTAGCACGGGTATTAGACCGTTAATGTATTTTTTCAGTAGCAGTAATGATGACAATATCATTACCATTACCATCATCACCAGCACCACCACCACCACCATCATCACCAGCACCATCATCATCAATGCCAGCACCATGATCATCACCAGCACCATCCTCACCATCACCACCATCACCTCCATCATCATCACCACCACCATCTTCATCATCATCACCAGCACCATCCTCACCATCACCACCATCTTCGTCATCATCACCAGCACCATTCTCACCATCACCACCACCATCACCACCACCATCTTCATCATCACCAGCACCATCATCATCAACGCCAGCACCATCATCACCAGCACCATCCTCACCATCACCACCACCACCTCCATCATCATCACCACCACCACCTCCATCATCATCACCACCATCCTTACCATCACCACCACCACCACCACCATCTTCATCATCATCACCACCACCACCATCACCACCATCATCTTCATCATCATCACCAGCACCATCCTCATCACCACCACCACCTCCATCCTCATCACCACCACCACCTCCATCATCATCACCACCACCACCTCCATCATCATCACCACCACCACCTCCATCATCACCACCACCATCCTCACCATCACCACCATCTTCATCATCACCACCACCATCCTCACCATCACCACCGTCTTCATCATCACCAGCACCATCCTCACCATCACCACCACCACCACCACCACCTCCATCATCATCACCACCACCACCTCCATCATCATCACCACCACCATCCTCACCATCACCACCATCTTCATCATCATCATCAGCACCATCCTCACCATCACCACCATCTTCGTCATCATCACCAGCACCATCCTCACCATCACCACCACCACCACCACCATCTTCATCATCACCAGCACCATCTTCATCATCACCAGCACCATCCTCATCATCACCACCACCACCACCATCCTCACCAGCACCATCCTCACCATCATCACCACCAGCACCATCATCATCATCATCACCAGCACCATCCCCATCATCACTATCACTATCACCATCACCATTATCAAGCCGTTGAGTATTTATTTTAAACAGCTGTTGAGCACTGTTTGAGGTCACCGCCCCGGGAATACCCCTGTTCTTTTTTGTCTTACCTAAGGAATTTCTTGAGATACTGCCGGCTACACGAAGACCAGGAAAACACCCCATTGTTTCCTGTCAGTGTGGGAGACATGATATTGCCTTCAGCCTTCCTGCAGGGATTGCCTTCCCCATCGTGAATCATGCCGAAGCTGAAATAGAAGAAAACAGAAAGCTTTCTGTGAAGCCATTTTCCAAATGATAATCAAAGGAAGAAGATACACTGACAATCAATGAACCCAAGTGAGAGACAGAGTTATCACAATTGTAAGAAAAAACAAAGACAAAAAATGAGTTACCTTTGAATACCATACGGGTTAAGGCCACTGACCCTCCCCACCTGCAGCTGAAAATTCAAGTATAATTTTTCTCTCTCCCAAAGCTTAACTACTAATAGCCTACTGTTGACTGGAAGCCTTACCAATAACTTAAAGTTAATTAATACATGTGTTGTATGTTATATGTATTATGTACTATATTCTTACAATCAAGTAAGCTAGAGAAAAAATGTTAAGAAAATCATAAGAAAAATACATTTATTTTTTTAATTTTTTAAAAAGATTTTATTTATTTATTTGACACAGAGAGCGAGAGAGAGCACAAGTAGGGGGAGCAACAGAGAGAGAAGGAGAAGCAGGCTCCTAACCGAGGAAGGGAGCCTGATGCTGGGCTCAATCCCAGGACTCCAGGATCATGACCTGAGCCAACTCAGGCCCAGGAGTCCCAGGAAAATACATTTAAAGTACTATATTGTATTTACCAAAAAAAAAAAAAAAAAAATCTACATCTAAGTGGACCCGCATGCACATAGTTCAAAGCAATGTTGTTTTAGAGTCAACTGTAGGGGAGCCTAGGTGGCTCAGTCAGTTGTGTCCAACTCTTGGTTTCAGCTCAGGTCATGACCTCAGGGTCGTAAGATCGAGCCCCGCGTGGGGCTGTGCGCTCAGCACGGAGTCTGCTTGAGATTCTCTCTCTCCCTCTCCTCTGCCCCTTCACCTTGTTTGCACACTCCTCTCTAAAATAAATTTTTTTTTTTTAAGAAAAAAGAGTCAACTGTAGTGTTGTAAAAGTAATATAGAAAATTCTAAAAAATGCTAAGGGCTTTGTTCTATTATGTCTTGGCCACAAAATCAAAGAATGGTATGTCTGCTGTATATTTTAAGGACGAGAAACTTTTGGTCAATACATCTTAGCTAAATTAAAATGATGGGACACTCAAATTCTTTTATTTCAAGTACCACATTTTTTTTTCTTCCCACCAGTTGTGAAACTGTGATAAGGAAGTTCATGGTTAGTAGGTGATAGGTAAAAAGAAAAAAAAAAGCATTTAGACATATGTTTGACATTCATATTTCTTTCCTGCTCTGTACAAAGGGGCCTTGTGCTTAACAGGCATTTTTGTACTGGTGTTCACAATAAAATCGGTTCATTCATACCTTGCTAAGAAAGCGGCTGTGCACATACCAGGATTCAAATTCCCTGAAGATAATCTGCTCATAAGAGACACCAGCACCGAAATATTCAAATATAAATTATAGTTGTGGAGACGATTTTGCTTTTATTTTTAAGTCAGAATGAGCCTCCAACATAAATGTTGAATACGAGACACATACGCCAACACTCCTAAACCCATCTATCCAAAGAGCTTGCCCCTTGCAGTCCATCTATACCCACAATGGATTTCTGTGCAGCTATGAAACATTGTTGTTTAAAAAAAGCAACACCCACAATGACACACCTTGACTGAGGGAGCTCTCCTTATTGTCAGGTACGATTCTGAGCTTTACCCAAGATTTAGCCTATCTATTCTGACTAGACCAACAATTATCATTAGGGGGATGCCAATGAATCACCCAACTGGTTTTCACAGAATCACTCACTTGTGCCCTGACTCATGAGCGATGGTGAAGGCCAGGCCAAGCCCCGTGTCCTCATTGATGGTACAACTTCGGTACTTACTGCACATTCCACTGATGGGAGCAAACCCTATTGAGAGAGCAATTTCAAGTTTTAGTCCAAAGGGCACACATACAGAGACCTGACCATTTCTTATGGCTTCAGAATGTTCTGCACAGTTTTAGTTTCACTGGTTAACATAATTAATTTCAGTTTAATTGATGCACATACTTAATTTTTTTGCAGGGAAGCACTAAAGGCATAGGATTATCTGTCCTGCCCAGATAAATGCAGAATTTAACATTTTCTTTCCTTTGAAAAGATACTGTCATCAACAGATCCTCCTCCCAACCCTGTAAAGTCACTATGACTGTTGTATTTTCCATTTTACATACAGAACAGGAAGCTGCAGGACATTTATATGCCTTATCTCAATTAAACCAATGCAAAATATCCACCTAACAGCACTGTTAGCGTTAAAGCTCAAGGTATATTTTCTAAGAGAACATACATCCTGGTCTTTTTCTGAAGCAGACAACATGGAAAGGTCTGAACGATGGGAACAGATTAAATGCATTTTTTTTTCCTCTTCACTAGAATGTGACAAATGCTTCTGTTTTCAAAAACTACTTCCTTCTAAGAGCAGCTATAAAATCATTCTAGCCAGTGTTTGAGTCTATCTTGAACCACATTACAGCGTTAAATGTCTTTCTTCCCCATTTGGGGTCCTCCTATGCAGAACAAGAGTATGTACCCAGTTAGTATTAAATACATGCTTGTGGATGGACTGCATCCACTTTGCTGCTATGTGGTCCGTGAGATAATCTGAGCAACTTAATGTGGAGGCATATATTATCACTGGCACCACCAACAACAACACTGAGCTAGAGGAGCATTAATTCATCAAAAAAACAAACTGTTGATTTCTTACTGTGTGCAATGGAATATACTAGAAAATACAGTATAGATGTGGAAGATATAGTCCTTACTCATTGTCTCGTGCAAATATAGAACAGCTGAGTCCTTTAAAGGTCAAGTAACTTTCTAAAGGATGCACGTCTATGCTACCCAAGGGCACAATGATGCACCATGGAGATCAAATTTTCTTCAGCAGCCCCAGTTGGGCTTATGGAATAAATCACAACTCGTCTAGTTAAACAATTCACCTCAAAGATCATCAAAAGAGTTAATAAGGAAAAATACAGAACGAATAAAGGAGCTCACCATTCCACCCTGACTTGAGTTAAATAGAACAATATTCACCACAGGGTACAGTGAAGATAACTACTCCACAATTTAAATATTAGGTCTTCTTATTAAGGATCCTTAGGGCCACCCACCCAGTAGACAGTTTTCACAGGTGTGAGTGAAACACCCATTCATACCTTACCTAGAGTGTCACATGGTTCATTCTTCCAGGAACAAATGTCAAATCCCGTGAGTAGGATGGCGTGGTCATGCCTCTTGCCATTCTTTCCAATGAGGGCAGACTGCCACTGACAAAAACTATTCAGAGACTGGTCTGCATGGTGGTTGATCAATAATCCTCCCTATGGGAAACCCACACAAATCAGAGTGTGAATTTGTCAGAGGTGAGAACGTTGAATTATTCCATTTGTACAAGCAACCACAGAAACACATTTCTAGGGAGAAAGGTCAGTAGAGGAAAATACTTGAGCTAAGGTTGGAGACAACTGATTAAAAAACAAAACAAAACACCTTAAAGCTATTTCAGGTAAATTCTCACAATATTTAAAGCAACTACAAAGTTTTAGTAGTATACTTTATGACTGGTTCTATTTCTAAAAAAAAAATAATAATAATAATAATAATAACCTGACATCAGTTAGGAATATTTGTGTTCATCTCATGCTGGTATCACCTTTATAAAACTGTTAAAGTTTTTAGAACCTAATTATAAGTTAATAGTGATAAAGTTCAATGCCTTCTTCAATACCGCATGAGGAAGGTAGTGACCACAATTTATTTACCCCTATGTCAAAATTTCCAGCAAAGGGCTTGCCACGTCACAGATTAAAATCAATCCATCCATCAATCAATAAAAAGAAAACTCACTGAACGGATGTAGAAGCAAATAATTATAAGACTCTGAGGAGGTAAGATAGGACCTAGCTTTAAGATAATTATTTACCAAATCTTTGCTTAAAACTATTGACTTGGGTCAAGTTGAGGGTTTTTAGAGTAGGTCTTTAATTATCCGTGAATTAGGATGCCTCTGGCTTCAATATCCTTGGGCAAAGTATTAAGTGGTAGGTTAAAGACAAAAGTGTCTCCCAATGACACACACCCTCCTTTCTACCTTCCTAAAATTCCAAGAACAATTTGACAGGTTAACCTCTGCAGCTGTACACACCTGGATGATGAGATTAATTTTTGTCTTGTCTCTGACTCCTTGCTTTGTACATTAATTACTGGGGTAACGGATGAAGAGGAGAAGCCACAGGGGACTTAAAAAACCTGGTAATCTCTACCTCAGAAAAATACAGTTTCAAACAGCATCAAAACACTAGAAGCTGGGAGTGCCATGCAATTAACACTTTATTATATGTTCTGGTTTTATGATTTACTCCATGCCTGTGTCTTGCACCTCAAGGTAATCAATTCAAGGGCAGTTAAATATTCCTTACTTATTCCCTGTAGTACCTAAGATGGTATTGGGGAGACAGCAGGTTTACTACAAGAATTTTCTGGTGACTTATTTTCAGTATGTTTTCAAAATATCTTTTTAAATCTACCTGCAATTACCCAGCATATCCAACGTGCAAGATCCAACTGACCCTTAAATCTACTATCAAATGCCCCTTCCCTGTAAAGCCTACATAATATTTGTATTTTTATATATAATGTAATATTTATACTATATATGCATATTTAATCATATCTATGCCATTGTATAGATACATGTACTGTATATGTGTATGTGTGTGTGTGTATATATATATATATATAAATAATTATTTTGTGATGTTTTAGTTATTTGAATATATAACCTTATTAGGTTGTACTTTCTTTGAGGACAGGGTCAGCCTATTTTCAAGATGGAATTCCTAGGGGCGCCTGGGTGGCTCAGTTGTTAAGCATCTGCCTTCGGCTCAGGTCATGTTCCCAGGGTCCTGGGATCGAGCCCCACATCGGGCTCCTTGCTCTGCGGGGAGCCTGCTTTTCCCTCTCCCACTCCCCCTGCTTGTGTTCCCTCTCTTGCTGTGTCTCTCGCTGTCAAATAAATAAATAAAATCTTTAAAAATAAATAAATAAATAAATAAATAAATAAATAAATAAATAAAAGATGGAATTTCTAATGACTAGTTCATGGATCGGTACACAGTAGGTATTCAATAAGTAGATCCTGAATGGCAGAATGTATTTTTTTTAAGGATTTTATTTATTTATTTGACAGAGAGAGGAAACACAAGCAGGGGGAGTGGAAGAGGGAGAAGCAGGTCTCCCACCGAGCAGGGAGCCTGATGCGGGGCTCGATCCCAGGACCCTGGGATCATGACCTGAGCCAAAGGCAGACGCTTAATGACTGAGCCACCCAGGCACCTCCTGAACAGCAGAATGTATTAAGAAATAAGTGAAGTTTGGCACTTACAGGTTCTTGTTCCAGAAGAATGAGGCTCACCACAACAATGTTTATGTCACTTCCAATGGTCCCATCTTTAAAGAGGCTAGAAACCTGTTGGAACAATTGAAATCAAATGAAAATAAACAAAATCTAAAAATTTCCAAAACTCTGTATTAATCAGACAGATTTATAAGTATGCAGGCTTCAATTTTACGAAATTGAATATATGTATATGTACGTATGAAGCAATTTCCTCAAAACTCAACTTTTTTCCAATAAAATTATGTGACTATAGCTGCTGTTCAATCCATACAAGGATATTCTGTGATTATTGGCTGTTCTGGAGATCCAGAGTGTTGGAGTCCTAACAAACTCCCTTACCATGTTCATGACCGTGAGAATGTACGTGGTGACATTTGCCTTGCCGTGCTTTTCCACCATTTTCTTGTCTGCTACCACAAGGGTTTCCACATTTAGGCCCTTTTGTGATTTTCCAGCTGATCTTCTGGGTCGCCCTGCACTCCCATACTCATCAAACCTGAGATAGGTATCCTCCGTGGGAGGCTTAGGGGCATCTACAATGAACATAAGAGCATTTGGAGGGGATTATCAGTGGAGAACATCTGGGTGAGATAGAAAGAAATCTAAACAGGGCAGGGAGAGAGTCCGTAACCAACACTTGAAAGATCTACTGATAAATGATGACTTCGGTGCTTGTCCTGGGGCTTTCCTCCTAGTTTGTGGTAGAGAAAGATTCATTCAAAGAGGTTGGTAGATGGATAGACTCAACAACTCAAAAATACCCTAACAAGTGGAACACACACACACACACACACACACACACACACACACACAAACTACAAACCTAGTTAGTACAGCAGGTCAACAAAAATGAATTTTGTCCGAATAGTCTTTAAAAACAGATAATGCTCATTTTATTTTATTCTAAACACTGCAGAAAGAGACATTCTTCTTTGCATCTGAATTCATAACACTTTATATATTATTTTCTAAATAAAATTTAGAAATATACGTCCTACAAAACACTGTCCATGTCTAACATCCTTGTTTCATCAACACAAACTTGAATATAGCACAAAATAAGTGCTCAATAAGGACTCTTTGACCCAATATTGAGTTAGTTTTTGGGGACATATAATAGTCAGGGGTGGTATTTAAAATGATATTAAATATTTCACAAGAGGTAAGGTGCAGGCACCACCTTAACAGAGTGGATACTGGCCATGGCCTTTGAGAAAGACACCTGGCAGTGTCAGGATGTTGGGCCAGGCATGATCCCTTCAGTTAATGGGGAGGGACAAGTCCAAGGATTGCTGGGAGAGAACAGGGCATTTGGAAACGTAATACTAACAGAGAGTTATTTCAATACTTCAACAACTAGTACAGTACATTTAGTATAGTATAGATTTAGATTTAGAAAATCACAATTAGTATAGTATAGTACATTTACTATAATGACAGTAAAGTCATTTTAACTCTCCGCAGAGTGAAATTAAAAAATCAAATTATGTAGAGTTAGATATAAAACCTCAAGTTGGCCGCTTTGATAAGTGACCCTCAGTCTCAGTTTCTTTATCAGTGAAAAGAGCATAATACCCATAACACCAATCATAAGGCTGCTCTAAAGATCAGCTGTGATATATCTATCAAATACATATCACGGTCACTATGGACAGCACCACTATTATTCGTATCACTATTATCATAAATCTGTGCTAAATTGATGTTCCTTAAAGAGGGTATTTCTGTTAACACCCCAAGCCCCAAAGACCGATTAAAATGGTACAAACATGATATTTCGTTATTGCTCCCAATCAACAGCTCACGGATACCAGTACCCCTTCTTCTTGGGTAGAACCACCATCTGGCTGCTCTGTCCACCTCGGCACTCACATGCCATTCATGGCTACTGAGCCTTTGGAATGTGTCTGGTGCCAATGGAGAAACTGAAGTTTTAATTTTAATTTCCATTTAAATTAAGAAAGCAGACCTTGATGCGGTGATTGAAAAACAAGTAAGTCTGGAACAGCATGAATATGTAAGTCTACTTTTCTGACCTTAAATTTTATGAAATCCAAATACAGATTAAGTATTTCTGATGAGAATTTGTTGTCTACATTGGAATTGTGCTCTAAGTGTCCAACAATAACTAGATTTCCAAAACTTAATATAAAATACCCGATTTATAAGTTGGTATACTGATTGCATATTGGGATGATATTTTATAATTTATCGGGTTACATAAAATATGTTACAAAAACTAATTTGCCTATCTTTAATTTTTTTTTAAAATGTGGCCACTAGAACACTTAAAACTACTTGTGGGGCTGACATTGCATTTCTCTTAGATGCCGCTGGTCTACAAAGTGCAGAGGGTTGTGCCTGGGTCACAAACCTGTATCTCACTGCCACCTCCACATAAGTGCCAATGTTCTCATTTCCTGTGAAGCTATCCTTCAAGAGCTCAAAAGGAACAAACATTCCAACCACCCCTGAGGATTCATCTTTGATTTCCTTCATTATTGGAAGACTGGGCCTTTCTCAGGAGCACAGAAACCAAGATAATATAGGGACCCGTGACTAAAATAAACAAAAGCATATCAAGACTTTTCCTAGTTTAACCTAGAAGAATTGAGAACTGATCACCCAGTTTTTGCCTGACAGGGATGAATGTTGGTCCATCTCCAAGACTAATTTCAGGGAGTGCTTAGGGTAGCCCCATTTTAACCTGCAGAGTCAGCACACCTGACTGCACTCAAGAAAGCCTGCCAAGGGCCCACATAAGAACAGAGTAAGAAAAAGTTTCCTTACATACATTTCTTGCGTCGTCCACAAAAATGCTGCTTTTGCAACCTTGGGTGGTGATGCTCTCTTTCTTGACTCCGAGACGCATGGGGAGTATGAGTTGGGGAGTGCCCGGGATAATGCCTGCTGGAGCCTGGGTAGTCATGGCAATGCTGGACCTTCTCCTCAGCTGTCCTTTTGTACAGTATGTGAGGATGGTGCCCGGCAGGTGCGCTGTAGTTATGTTCCTGGGCCAGCAGCTGAGGTAACGGTGAAATGAGGAATTCGTTTTGTCGTGTCCTTATTAGACCTGACTAAAGAGCCAAACACACAGAAAACATTAATGGTTCCAGGCAATCCCTTCTTACGTGGTGATTTTCAACAACTGTTTAATGGCTACCTCCTGTGTGCTACTTTGTTAGCACCGTGCTAAGTAATTGACGTCCATTATCTATTTCATATATACCATAGTTACAATACTGTATGTTTCATATGTACCATAAACAGTACAATACTGTAAAATACCTCCATTTTACAGAAGACAAAACTGAGACTAAGAGAGTAAGTAGGAAAGCTAGCACTGGCATTGTAGGGAAGGAAAAAATAATTTTCCCTTCACCCTTCTAGGTTCTTGACTCAGACCTCATTGTAATAAAAGATTAACAGGAGAAAAACAAACAGATGTTTAGTAACATGTATACCTTCCTTCAACATGGGAGTCACCCAGGAAAACTGAGTAACTCCCCAAAAGGGCCCAAGATACCACCTTATAAATTCTGTCTCCCGGGAAAGATAGAAGATGTTGAGGTGGTGATGGGGGCGGGGGAAGGGCAGTCATGCAAGGTTACCAGGAAAAGCACAGAAAAAAGAGCTATGGTTGATATGCAGATTTAAGTCCTGGCTTTCTGCACCGACAAGTTGCTAGAGATTTGGTCACCCTCCTGTTCCTGGCACAGAGAGGGAGGCACCCCCCACAAATGGAGATTTCCCTTGTGAAGGTAAAATGGTAACTTCTACTCGGTTTTCAGAGCTTTTCTTATGTCTGCTGTTTCTTAAAAACGATCAGCTGAAAATAATCCTTATGCCAAAGAGGCAGAGTGTGGGGCATCCAGAGCTCTCTACCCTCAGAAGCAGTGCCCTTAGCTACAGTTCCAGACTCTTCACTACTAATCGTGATGCGTTAGGACTCTTGTGCCTGAGGGCAGAGCCACGTGTCGTCCTGGAGCCTCTGCATCTATGACAAGGGGGACACAGTGGCAAACACAGGATGGAGGGGGCTGCTTCATAGCAGCCCGGCCCTCAAGGGACCCATAGCATGGGCAGGAAAAACTATGACATTCCATCCTGGTTTCACAAGTGCTAAATAACAGGACTAGCATAGGTGGCGGAGCGGGGAGAGTGGTCACGGTCATCTCCATGTGTTATCGACAGAATCTGCTAAATGGAGAAGAAAGAGTGAATCGGGACTTCTACCTCCTCCACTTTGACCTCAGTCTGTACACTCTAATTGATTCCATTGTTCTTTCCGGCTTATCTCTTAACTCAGGCAAAAGCCCCAGGGGGCATCATATCCCTGGATGAAACTGAAACTACCTCCTCAAGCAAGAATGACTCCCCTGAGCCAGCAAGACCCCATGTGACTGACCCCAAGACAATGACAGACCTGACCTTCACTGCCCACCTGCACGTACCCACTAACCTTTGCTCCACATTTTCCTGACATAAACCTGGAAGTATTTTCAGCACTTTGGAGACAGCCTTTGAGATATGAATCCACTGTCTTCCTGGTGCTGGCCTCACTGAAATAAATGCCCTTTCTTGTTTCCCCACAACTCGTCCCTCTGTCTTTGGATTCTGTCAGTGGCAAGTGGCCGGACCTGGTCTGTTTCAGGACCACTGGAGCCAGGCGCTCTTGAACCCCTGTGCCTCAGCTATAGCAGGGGACTCGGCAAGCCCATCCAATCACAATTTCGCTTTCCAAGTTCACGGCACAAAGTGTGTATCTTTGTACCTGATATTTCAGCCGCAACACACCCCTGCCTTCCCTTCCACACCTCCGCCCTCTCTCTTCTTGTATTTGGTTCAGAAGGTCCTGGACATCTGGGCCCTGGGATAGCAAGTATGGTCTGCTGACCCTACAGCTTCAGCCCACCCAGGAGCTTGTTAGAGATGCAGACGCAGGTCTCACTCCAAATCCACAGCATCAGAGTCTGCATTTTATTTAGATCCCCATGTGATGTGTAGGTCTATGAAAATCTGAGAAGCACTGACAGAGGCTGGCCACTCTTAACCGTTGCCGAACATCAGAAACCCGCGGGGATCTGAAATGCACACACAGACTCCCTCACTCCCAGGCAGAATCCTGCACCATCAAAAACCAGATCTCTATCCTTGTGACTCATGCATCAGACCTACAGTGCTGAACTGCTCTGGTGACTATCGCCATGCACCAAGGGCTTCGCGGGCCAGTCTTCTAGGGCTTCCCTTCTTCGTGAGCAAAATGGGGACGCTCCTCCCCTCCCTGACTACCTTACAAAGGGAGAAAGAATAACCATTGAAGAAGCCCTTTACACACTCTCACCTACAGCAACCTAGGTGGCTAAGGAGGACGGCTGATTGAATGAACAGTCACTGAATGCCAGGGAAGTGCGAGGCACACAACTGTGCAGGAGATACACAAACAGAGGAGGTTGCTCTGCTGGGGAGCCGGACACCTAAAAATTCAAGGATGCTACCAAATGCTAAGAGGGTGTCGGGGCGAGCACAGACTACTATGGGAACACAGAGGCGCCGGCACTTAACCCGCCTGTGGGCTGGAGGGGTTGCTGCATATGGGCTCTGTGCCCAGGCCTAATTTGGGCCCGCTGTTAGGGTTCAGCTCCTCATTCTTTCTTTTTTTTTTTTTTAAAGATTTTATTTATTTATTTGAGAGAGAGAGAATGAGAAAGAGAGCACATGAGAGGGGGGAGGGTCCGAGGGAGAAGCAGACTCCCTGCCGAGCAGGGAGCCCGATGCGGGACTCGATCCCGGGACTCCAGGATCATGACCTGAGCCGAAGGCAGTCGCTTAACCAACTGAGCCACCCAGGTGCCCCTTAGCTCCTCATTCTTAAAAGAAGTCCCAGAACATGTGGTTTGGTCCTGATTTTCCTCCCCCTTCAGGGGGGTGCTGCCTTCGGAAAGACTGCCTTATTGACTTGAAGCATTGACCTATTATCTAGAACTAGGACATAGACAGATGTTTTCCTTGGCTCGGTGAACTCCCACTGAGCACCCAATTAGCAGCCCTGTGCCAGGGGTTGGCATAAAGAACAGAGGCACACAGCAAGTCAATAGAACTGTTCACATTCATGTTCTCAGGGGAGATTCTAGAAGAAGAGAAATCGATTGGCAAGATAAAAATTCAGACAAGTAAAATTCCACAATCTAGAAATCCTGTCCATCATCTCTTCAGGCTGGCTCTCAGAGCAACCCGCCCTTCCCCACCCAGCCCAGGGCCATGCTGGTAGAGGTTTTCATCCCTCATTTGGACACTTTCTGTTTAGTTTCCCAAAGCCTCCTCTCATATGGTCTCCTCACATTGGCCAGAGTCCTTGTCCTTGGTAATCAACTCTTCCCATGCACTCTGGTATTGATCTCAAATCCAAACCCCTTTTCCTGGCCCACAGGCCCCTGCATAACCTGCTCTGTGTGGAGCTGGGCAGTTTATCTGTCCCCTCTCCCTTCCTCCTCATCATTCTTACAGGGCATTTCACTTCTTGAATCTGCTATGTTCTCTTACTTGCAGGGGAGCAGAATTTGCCACCCCAAAATATGCCTCTTTGGCACAAGGATATCTTGAGCTGGTTATTTTTAAGAATCAGCCCACAGAGGGGTGCCTGGGTGGCTCAGTCCACTGATCTGCTGCCTTCGGCTCAGGTCATGATCTCAGGGTCCAGGGATCCAGCCCTGTATCACACTGGGCTCCCTGCTCAGCAGGGAGCCTGCTTCTCCCTCTCCCTCTGCCTTCTGCTCTCCCTGCTTGTGCTCACTCTCTCTGTCAAATAAAATAAAATAAAATAAAATCTTTAAAAAAGGAAAGAATCAGCCCGCACAGGAGAAGCTCTGAAAACCTAGAGGAGTTACCCTTCTCTAAGAGACGTTTATGTTTATAAAGCAAATCTCCATATATAAGAGTATCTTCCTCTGTGTACCAGGAATAGGAAGATGACCAAAGATCTGGAAACTCTTCTCAATGGAGAAGGTGTGGACTTAAATCTGCCTAACCACCATACCCTTGCTGACTGCGCTTGGCCTGATAAGGTCCCATAACTTGCTCCCTCAACATCTTCTTCTGTCTTTAGCTGGAGATGGTATTTAGGGTGGTGTCTTGGGCCTTTTGGGGGAGATACCTAAGTTTTCCTGGGTCCCTCCCATGTATGCAGGAGGTATACATGTTATTAAACATCTTTGTTTTCTCCCGTTGATCTGTCTTTTATTACAGGGAGGTCTGAGCCAAGAACCTAGTAGGGTAGAGGGAAAATGATTTTTCCTCCCCCACACACTCTTGCACACTTTTTCTTTGACCTCTGATCTCCTGCTCCCATTGACTTGCTTGGCTTCTGCTGCTCACTGCTTTGTCACCTTCCCCTCAAAGAAACTACACTCATGGCCCTGTTTCTCCCCTACTTCCAAATGCTCTGACGCCACCGTTTCTTTGCTCATGTCTATCTACAGTGACAGAAACAAACAAAATGCCACCCTCCCCCCACCATACACTCTGTGACAGCTAGAGCCTGCTGTGTGTCACACGTTATCAGCAAATCGACATTTGTTTATTAGTCTACAAATGTTGACGGAATAAGGGAATGAAAGAATCTCTGACCGCAGGCTTGCTGAGGACACGCTAGCCAGCGCCCCCTCCCTGCACAGCAGAGGAGGAGACCAGAGGTGGGAAGCAACAAGTTCAAATACATGAAAAACCAGGCACTCTTTCCTGAGTCCAGCTGTGAAGCCTGGAGCACTCCTGGGGGTGCTTTATTTGAACCTCACAACCACCCTGTGAGGAAATCTCAGTTGGAAGCACAGGTAGAATGGGGTCCCTCTGATGTGAACCCTGGCCTCCCAGGGCCCCCACCTCTTCCACAAGCGTGAAGACAAAAGACACCATTAACAGTCCCCAGCAGACAGAGTGAACAGTTAAAGGGGCGGGGGGGGGGGGGGGTGAAGCAGTGATTTATCCATGAAAGCCCTCCTGCCTTACTAACTTCCTAACTTGGTTAAACTAATATCAAAGGCTTAAGCCACTTAAGTGCCTAAACTGGACTAACCGGTTG